AGAATGCCAAGGGGTCTCACTGTCTACCTTTGGGAGTGGTTGTGCTGTCTTCTCTCACCTTTCTCATAGCTGCCTATGTCACAGCTCAGGAGTGTCCGACTAGGTAGTCAGTATGTAGGCATCTTCATGTAGAATGCTAATAACCTTAAGTAGAGCTGTTTTTTTATTCCTAGCACAAATGGATTGGCCAGCTTACTGGGTGAGAAACCTTGATTCACAAAATAAAAGCATGGATTTTTCATTGTGACTGAAATCCCCTCCCTCATCTTGTGTGGGAAAAAAGCTGTTTTGGTTCTATTGGATTACATATACTTTCTTTTGTCAGTACTGGGATTGACCTGGTTCTATTTGAAATACACATGTATATATATATATATATATATATATATATATATATATATATATAGTGTATAGTGTCAGCCAACTCAATTTTAAGGTTTTCTCTATGTGCCAGTCACTATGCTGTAAATTAAATACTGAGCTAGGTCGGGTCTCCAGGGAGGTCCTTGGTGAGCATCGTCTGACTGGAAGCAAGAAGCAGCACAGGTGCAGACACAGAAACATGCTGGAGATTGTGTAAATGTCATGATTTCGCTGTTTCATTATTCCAGGAGCCCAAAGACTTCATCTGAACATGGGATGTAGGGAGCCACAGGAAATAGTAACATCCACCTGTTGAGGGTAGGAGGTCTCAGCCATGCAGAAGAATAAAGGGAGTGTTTGTGCAGAAAAGCATTAGGGACACTGGGAGCCATGGCATGGGGCAAATGAGTTGGTGTGTTTGTAGAACTTAACTTTTCCTGGGGCAGCCCAGAAGCCAGGGCTGAGGAGGCGAGGCTAGGAGAGGCAGAGCTGATGGTAGGCAGGACTGAGGTGAGGCTGGGCTGGATCTGGAGAGTTGTACTGAATTTCACCCAAGGGGGTGCTCAGATGGAAGGTGGAAGGAGGTGGAATTCTTTGTATTCAGGGAGAGAAGAATGCAAAAGGGTCAAAATGATAGAAGCTCAGCGTTGCTGAGACAAAGCATTTGGAATGCGTGGGTCTGAAAGGGGAGCTTGTGTTAAGAGTTTGTGTTTGTACTTCTTCACAGAAATTGATACAGAAGCAAAAACCTCAAATAGTCAAAACAATCCTGACCAATAGAAGAACAGCTGGAGGCATCAACTTCCCTGGTTCCAAATTGTACCACAGAGATATAGCAATAAAAACAGCATGGTACTGGCATAAAAACAGACACATTGATCAACAGAATAGAACTGAGGACCCACATTTAAGTTCACCCACTTATAGCCACCTGAATTTTGAAAAAGTGGTCGAAAATGCACAGTGGAGAAAAGACAGGGTGTTCAGCATGTTCAGCAAATGGTGCTAGTCAAATGATATCTATATGTAGAAGAATGAAAGTAGATCCCTCTCTCTCCCCCAGCACAAAATTCAGAACTCCAAATGGATCAAGGACCCCAAGACCTAATACCCCGAATCTCATAGAGGAGAAAGTAGGGAATACATTGGACTTTCAGGGGAGGACCCCAGTAGCACACATTAAGGTCAACAGTTGACAGATGGGACCTCATGAAGCTGAAAAGCTGCTATACAGCACAGGTCAAATCATTTGATGAGACAGCTGACAGAATGGGGAAATATCTTTATCAGCTATACATCTGATAGAGCTTTAGTGTCTAAAAAGCTAAACATCATAAAAGCAACCATATTAAAAATTGGAGCAAGGAAGTAAACAGAAAGTTCTCAAAAGATGAAACACAAATGACTGAGAAGGAATACTTTTTAAGAATGTTTGACAGCTCTAGCCAGCAGAAAAATGCAAATTAGAACTACTTTGAAATTTCATCTTACCCTAGTCAGAATGGCTAAGATCCAAAAAACAGATGATGACAAATGCTGATGAAGACGCAGGGAAAGGGAACACTTATTCACTGTTGGTGGGAGTCCTAACTGGTGTAGCCACTATGGAAATCAGTGTGAAGTTTCCTCAAAAAGGAATGGATCTACTACATGATCCATCCACACTATTCCTGGGCTTATACACAAAGGACTCTATATCTTTCTACAGAGATACCTCTCACTCATGTTTGTTGCTGCTGTGTTCACAATAGCCAAGAAATGGAAGCAACCTAAATGCCCATCAACTGATGAATGGATAATGAAGGTGTGGTACATTTACACAACAGAATATTATTCAGCTGTTAAGAAAAATGACATTCATAGCTAAATGGATGGAACTGGAAGCAATCACCCTCAGTGAGGTAACACAGACTCAGAAACACATTGCATATTTTCTCTCATAAGTGAATCTTTAGATATATGTGTTTCAATTGGAAAATCCATAGAGGTCAGGAAACTAGTAAGGGATCCTGGAGTGGGTTGTGGGAGGGGAGATAGAATGTAGTGATATAAAGATAGAAAGGGAAGTAACTGAATAAGAAGGGTTAAATGGGATGGGAAATGGGGAGGAATAACTAACACTAGAGGTCTTTTGAAAAAAGTCACATGGAAACCTGTCACTATAGAAGCTTCTTAATATATATACATATACAATGTAAAAAGTGTTTAAGTGTAGTTACCTTATAATGGGGGTTCAGTGGCCTTACCACACATCCCAATGCCAGAAATGAGTTATTTTGGAGTTACTGACCAAAGGGGTCCCATAGACCCTTAAAAATACTGGTTATTGCCATTGGTCTTGGTAAACCACCGGAATTGAAAGTAAGATCCTATTGCTGAAGGCAGTACATGAGTTTTAGAATACATCAGGAGAAATCAAAAGAATGGTACTGATCTTGAAACTTCATCTAGACCTAGATGCATAGCTTTCACAGTATTGGAAGGTGCTGTGCATATTACCCAAAGAGAAGTTACCAGCTTTACCCAGTTGTGATCCCTGGGAGCTACAGTAATAACTTGGCAAGATGCGCTGCTGGTACAACAGTGACATGAATCTTATGGGAGTTCTGAACCACTTTCTGCTTGGATTCAAGGCCTGCTTCACAAGACAGAGCCCAGACCTGGCACTGCTAGATGTGTCATAGGCCATAGGGGAGAATCTACTACTATTATTCTACTAAGTGGATTTAATATTAAGCCAACTCCTAGTGACTTATTGTTATACCTATAGATTAATACATCTCTCAACTCTCACCAGAGAAACTTCTTCTTTCAGTAGATGGTGATTAACAGAGACCACAACTAGTCAACATGTAGCGAATAAGAGACTTCAGAGTGCTTGGCCCTAAATGGGATGTGTATACTCCACCCTCTCCTCCCAAGCTTCAAGGATCATTGTGGAAGAGGGGAAGAAAGATTGTAAGAGCCAGAGTTGGTAGATGAATATAAGAAAACTATGTTATCTGGACACAACAGGACAGTTGCACACATGAACCCACAGTGCTTGTGACAGCATTCACAAGACCTGTGCAAGCCCAAGCCAAACAAAAACCCAACACAGATGGGAGAGGTGAGGACAAAGCCCTAGTCTTAACTGAGGAACTATTAACAACTGAGACCTGCTAAGAAAGGGAGAGTGAGTTTTCTTTAAGGGTATGATGCTAGGTAGGTTGAGCAGGTTCCAGTAGATGGATCCACACCCAGGTGCATTTGAAGAACACAAGTTAGACTTAATAGACTTTAAAAAAAGAGTAGTAAAGGATATGAAGTCTGGGTGGGGGCCAGGCTAGTAATGGAGGGTGGGGCAAGGGATCCGAATGTCATAGAAATATATTTTATGTAATTCTCAAGTAGCCAATAAAAATATTTGTTAAGAGGCTGGAGAGATGGCTCAGCAGTTAAGAGCACTGATTGCTCTTGCAGAGGACTTGGGTTCTATTTCCAGCACCCACATGGTGGTCCTTAACTCCAGTTCCAGGGGTAATCCAAAGCCCTCTTCTGACCTCCGCAGCACTGTACAACATGGGTGCACTCACATACATGCAAGCAATACACTCATACACATAAAATAAAAACTAAAAATAAATATATTTTTTAAATAGTTTGTGTTAGGGCAGAGAGGTTGAAATGAGAGTCACACAATTTCCATGTTTGTGAAGTTCCCCAGCAGGTATATGGGAATGATTGTGGGCCTTGGGTAGAGAAAGGCAGGAAAAGTGCTTAGGCAACACGTGACCTTGTAGGAAGTGATGTGGCTTAGACTGGGAAGTGGCAGGATGTGGAAGGAGGGCCATGCCTAACATTTCATGCCTGCTCCAAATTACTTTTTCTTTAAAAAAAAAAAAAGAAAAGAAAAAAAAACAGTAAAACTTAAGATATTAGTTTTAAAAAACCTTTGTGTTTCCTGTCTCTTCCCACACTAACCCTACCTATTCTTGGCATAAGTGCCCTTTTGCTGGAAAGCCTCCTTTGCTGTCCAGAGCCGATGCTCCCCAGCACCATCATCTTCAGGCCCCAGACAGCAAAGGAGGCTTCCCAGCAGAAGGGCACTTATGCCAAGAGTCTGGCCTTGTGTCATTTTCTTTGACTAGCACAGACATTTTGAAAGTTCATTTCAGCCACAGCTCAGTCTAAACCTCTTCCTCTGGGCGGGGAAAGGAAACATGTCTCATGGAGTGCCTCTTCCACATTGTCTTTCCCTGCGGTTTACTCAGACTGCACGGTTCAGCCATTGATTCTACACCGTCCTGTTCTTTGGTTGTCTTACCTGTTGAGTCTCACCTGTCTTGACAAGGTATCTTACAAAGCAGGGATCATGTGATGTGTTTGCTGTCCCCAACCCCATCAGCACAGGCTGCTACACAGATGACAGTAGCAGCCTAATTGTAAACATTTCCCATGAACTGCGCAGTATACTTGCAAAATATTACATGGAACTTGGCACATTTGACCTTACATGTCAATGTGGGGCTTTTGCTCTCTGTTCAGAGACAGGAACTGAATGAATGCTCCATGCCACTGTTCGCGGTGGTCAGTGTTTCTGTTTACTGTTATCTTGGTTTTCTCACTACTCAACTCTATATTTTCCCTTCTGTTAGGCTCCTTCCTGGTGTCATTTTGAGTCTGGTCTAATTGAAAACTGAGGTAATGAAGTCCATCCTAGACGGCCTTGCAGACACCACCTTCCGAACCATCACTACAGACCTCCTCTACATGGGCTCAAATGACATTCAGTACGAAGATATCAAAGGCGACATGGCATCCAAATTAGGATACTTCCCACAGAAATTCCCTCTAACTTCCTTCAGAGGTAGTCCCTTCCAAGAAAAGATGACTGCAGGAGACAACCCCCAGCTGGTCCCCACAGATCCAACAAACATTACAGAATTCTACAACAAGTCTCTTTCATCATACAGGGAGAATGAAGAAAACATCCAGTGTGGGGAGAACTTTATGGACATGGAGTGCTTCATGATTCTGAACCCCAGCCAGCAGCTGGCCATCGCTGTGCTGTCCCTCACACTGGGCACCTTCACAGTCCTGGAGAACCTGCTAGTGCTGTGTGTCATCCTGCACTCCCGCAGCCTCCGTTGCAGGCCTTCCTACCACTTCATTGGCAGCCTGGCAGTGGCCGACCTCCTGGGAAGCGTCATTTTTGTCTACAGCTTCGTCGACTTCCACGTGTTCCACCGTAAAGACAGCCCCAATGTGTTTCTGTTCAAACTAGGTGGGGTCACAGCCTCCTTCACGGCTTCTGTAGGCAGCCTGTTCCTCACAGCCATTGACAGGTACATATCTATTCACAGGCCCCTGGCCTATAAGAGAATCGTCACCAGGCCCAAGGCCGTGGTGGCTTTTTGCCTGATGTGGACTATCGCAATAGTAATTGCTGTGCTGCCTCTCCTGGGCTGGAACTGCAAGAAGCTGCAATCAGTTTGCTCTGACATTTTCCCACTCATCGACGAAACCTACCTGATGTTCTGGATTGGGGTCACCAGTGTGCTGTTGCTGTTCATTGTATACGCATACATGTACATTCTCTGGAAGGCTCATAGCCATGCAGTGCGCATGATACAACGTGGAACCCAGAAGAGCATCATCATCCATACATCAGAGGATGGCAAGGTGCAGGTGACCCGGCCAGACCAAGCCCGCATGGATATTAGGCTGGCCAAGACCCTGGTCCTGATCCTGGTGGTATTGATCATCTGCTGGGGCCCTCTGCTTGCAATCATGGTGTATGATGTCTTTGGGAAGATGAACAAGCTCATTAAGACGGTGTTTGCCTTTTGCAGTATGCTCTGTCTGCTGAACTCCACCGTCAACCCCATCATCTATGCTCTGAGGAGCAAGGACCTGCGACATGCTTTCCGTAGCATGTTCCCTTCGTGTGAAGGCACCGCACAGCCTCTGGATAACAGCATGGGGGACTCAGACTGCCTGCACAAGCACGCCAACAACACAGCCAGCATGCACAGGGCTGCGGAAAGCTGCATCAAGAGCACTGTCAAGATCGCCAAGGTGACCATGTCTGTGTCCACAGACACGTCTGCCGAGGCTCTGTGAGCCTGCCACCACCATGGCTGCACAAAAGGAAAACAAAAAGAAATTCTTTTTTTTTTTAAGCTTAAAATTTAGAAGCCTATTGTCTCATCGGTTATATATTTTTAACTTTACCATGTTCAGTAAAGAGGTGACTGTGACCATGATTTCTTCTCAGTTTGCTGACATCTCAGTAGTTTAGGTACTTAAACTCCATTCTCCAGGGGTTTACCGTGAAGAAAGCCAGTTTCTTCAGTTTCTCAATGGTCCTTCCAAGTCTCAGTGAAATAGGAGGGAAACCTTTGGCTACAAAATCTGAAGTCTAAGTACCCACAGAAAAATACCATCAAATGAGTAATGCCTTTGTAACCACAACTTTCATGGTAATGTGATGTGTCTGTCCGTAGTATAAGAGATGTCCATTTTTACAGCAGTTATAGTGCTATAGTAGAGATACTTCGTAAAATGTATTATGTCTTTTGAATTGTGTATCAGTGTTTACTGTGTGTCATTTTTTTTGTCTAGCTTAGCAAAACTGAAAGGCAGACCTTCATGAAAACAGTGGCATACAGGAGTGGGTACACAGCAGTGCAACCACTGTTTGGAAATACTATTGTCCATGGTATAATTATAGAAACCTCAGTGTTTCTTCTAGCATTTGTTCTTAAAATTGACATTGAAATAACCATAAAGGTTTATTTTTTATTAAAACAACAAGAAGAATTTGAAGACTATCCAAAGTCTCAAGCAGAATTCATCGACACTTAAAAATGTGTTAGCCCTGCATTTTTGTAGGACATGTATTATCTCCTGGACCATAGCGTTCAGTTGGGTAATGGAATATAACCAGAATGGAAGACAGAAAGCATATTGACTTTTTTAGGCCAACATCTTGGCTTTCTTTAGTCATTAGCTATTACCAGACCTCTTAAGACAGCATGTGTCAATTTCAGTGTGCGTTGTTTTTGCTGTGCAGTTGCTGTTGACTTCAAGTATATTGCATTCTTATGTTCCAGGCTTAAGTAGATTTCAGGCCTGGGGTGGCCAAACAAGAGTCTTCTTCTTTTTAATTGAAAAGAAGTATTGTCTGGATCAGTAAATTGTACTGTGTGTGAGTGTGAATACAAATGTGTATATGTGTGTGTGTTCTAGCTTGTAACTGTTACAGTAATGTCATAATGTGAGAAAACTGTGCCCAAGTGTAAACTGTACCACTTAACTGCACTCTTGCACATGAATTCAGTTTCTAAAATTGAGTTCTTCCTGAAGTCTCATTGATTAAAATTCTGACTAAAATCTTCCAGAAAAATCTGCCCTCTTAAGATATTGAATTAAGTACTGCTAATAACCTTTAGGTGTTACATAGGCCAGTGTTTAGCAAGGGGTAATCAGTAACAAATGTAAAACCAAAGTTCTGTGCTTACAGGATTCTTAGGGAAATGTAGGAGGGTGAAAACCTAATATTGATCAAGTTCGTGGAAATGGAAATCACGAGGAGGATGGTATTTTTTCAGTGGTGCATGTAGGTAGCGTAGTCCCAGTTTTAGGAGTACAGCTCGCTAAAGTTACCTGTTTCAGACCATGTGATTACAGTAGCTGAGACAAAAGAGCAGTGAAAAACTGGTGACAGCCCAGTTCATGGCTTTGTTTAGGTAAGTTTGGGCTAAGGAATAGGCCTTGCCTCCACTCACAGGTAACTAGATAAGCCACAGCATAAGGAAGAGTGTGGCTTGCTTCTGATTGCCCCACCGCATGCTCCTTCATGGTGCCATGCTGCTCAGAATTGGACTCATTTCCACTAAGGAAAGACACTGCTTTAAGAAAGCCACTTGGTCCTGATAAGTTTTGTTTGGAGTTTCTCCTTCTTAGACAGATGAAGCATGGTTCTCACCTGTCCCGAGGCCTGCATAGCATGAAATGGAGAGTTAGCATCCACCTAATGATTTCTAGCATTTTCGGTATTCAGCCTGGTGGGGCAGTGCCCTTCCTTGTGGTTGATGGTCAAGATGGAGATGGCCTGTGGACCAAGCTGGGGTGTATCTAGAATCTGCCTGCCAAGTCCCTCACTTTCCTCCTCTGTGATTCATAGCTGAGGACTCAGGATTCTGGAGGATTAGCAGCTCCGTAGAGAAGGGTACTGACAGAACCTCCCCAAGGCTACTTTCCATCTAGGAATTGCTAGCCTTGGCCTGCACCAGCCTCAGCATCAATCCATACATCTCTAGCTACCAGGCAGTACCAGATCTTGTCTCATAGCTATGAAGACCCGATAGAAAGGCAGTGTTTAGCATAACTATAAAAATAAGCCAAGATTCATTTTTTGAAACTGCATTTGTGTGAATGCCATGTAGCTTTTATAGTATATTGTACTTTCAAGACCTAACTCATATATAATAAATTAAGGGACAATGGGGCTGACAGCACTAAACTTGGTGCTTATTGACTTTAAGAAACATTTGTGAAATATCATGTGTGTGTCCAACTGCCTTCATTTAATATTTAAAATTAGTTGGATCCACTTTGGCATCTCTCATATGATTTCCTAACCCTAGTGACCAAAATTTCTCCCCAGTGAATATAGTCATTAGAATTACATTCATTAGTATCGTTCATTAACCAGTCTCTTAATTAGAGTCATTAATTTAAATATGATTTGCATTTAAGCTCTTATAAGCTCTGGCATCAGGGTTATCTACTTCCCTCTGAGGGTGACATTTGTCCTGAACATGCATTTTGCCATCTCTCATCTTCAGAAAGGGCCAATTCCAACCCATTTGACTTTTTTTTTTTTCTGTCTAGCTTAGCAAAACTGATTAAGATTCAGAATAGCGACTGAGTCATAGACTAGCAAAGAAGGCTATCTCTGAGCCTCTAGTTGTATTAAATATATGTAAAAGAAATGCAGATCTGGGAGGCTGCAGTCTTACACCTATGATAGAGTTCCCAGTTCCCTGGCACTTAGTGTCAGGTCTAGCTGGTATCCATGCCAAGGAATCTTTGCTGCCTCAGCCCACTCTGCAGGAAATAAGCCCAACCAACAGAAGACAAATAGGCTTTGCATGAGTGGCATTCTAGCTACTGTCCAGTTCATTAATTTCTGCCATTCCGTACCTACAAACAAGACTGCTGATATCATGCACAAAATCAGATTTCTCATACTCTTAACTGTATATTTGTATCATATTTTAAAATCTCCTAACTGGTTATTCACAATTGTTTTGCACTGGCCTTCTGATGAAATGTTACATGCCTATTGTAATATACACAGAACATTCTATCTGCTGATTTGGGCTGAATGTATGTAAATAGGTTTTAAAAACAAGTCAGATGTTGAAGCGGTGGTTTACAAATCAGTGATTTTCAAAGCGTTTCTTTACGTTGCTGTGGTAGCCTAAGAGCTCATTCCATGTGAACTTACTGGACTAGGGGTCCTGGGGTCAGAGTCCTCTAGAAAGGAAACTTTTTCTTTTAATAATATGAATCAAGGTACCAGATTATCTGGATTCTTATCTCCAGTGTTTCAAGTGGAAAACACAACTCCTTACTGTCTCTGTAATCTAACATATTACTTTTCCTCTTAGAAGATATGTATTGTTAGATGTTTGTTGAACTGGTAACATCCTTGAGACTGCTGTAATATCTTTGTTAGTAATCTGTATAATACTTTGTACACAAGTACTGGTAAGATTGTTATTAAATGTAGCTTCAGTTATTAAATTATTATAGCAAAGTAGTATTCTGTAATATTTACAATGTATTAAGCTGACAGTATATTTTATTTCATGGATGTAATTTAACTGTTATTTATTCAAGAGAAAACATCTCATCATGTCTATTGTCTAAAATTTCCTGGAATCAAATAAAAATTCTAGATTATCATGAAAAATATAAAAAGCCTGTGAATTCTGCTTCATAGCTCAGTCTAATGGTAAAACATTGGGGGTTCATATTAAAAAAATATTGCTGAACAACTAATCCCCTCTTAAAGTGCTTATAGTTTTGTTGTAAAGAGAGGGGTAGACTGCATTTATATATTCATCTTTTAACATACGAAAAATAAATGCAAACATTCTCATTTACATAGGCAGAAATAGCTACTGTGTCTTCTTAAAGCATGATGTAATTAAATATTCTAATGTTTTTGCAATTAAAACAGTCATAATACATCAGTTAAAATTTAACACAAATACTGAAACATAAATCTGAAGAGTTTATAAACATACATTCTTAGCCACGTAAGAGATACATGCTTTGAACAGTTTGTAAAATTTCTATTCAGTAAGTGTAAAAAAAAAGCATTATAATGAAGTTTAAGTAGTTGAAATAAAAGTAGTCAATTTTGAGAAATGTTTTTAAAGTTTTCAAATAATGAATTATTGAATATTTGAAATTAGATTATCTTTTTAAATAACCAAAATTAATTATTCTGCCTCTCTTATATTGCATAAGGTTAATGCTCTGACAAAAACCAAATGACCTCTATTCTTAGACCTTAATTTTATTAGAACTTCAAAGGAAAAGCATACTTAATTTTAGTATTTTCACATAATATGTCAAAACCAAAAACTTATCTTCAGGCAACATGTGTTGCTATCTATATTGAATAATATAGATTTAAACCTATGTGGAAACAGGAAACCAACTGAGGCACAAATCTCCCGTGTCTATGAATGACTGCAACTGGAGCACTTCCACTGCTGCCTCTAAACCATTCTGAGGTGAGTTTTCCCTGCATGGTCAGCACATACTGGATCCTAAACAGTCTCAGCTCCCTGTCTCTGGAATACTGGTGAGGAACATTTGCAGGGTGTGTCTCTGCTAGTTTAAGAGTTCCTAAAACAGAGAACATCTTGGAATTACAGATCACTGGAATTCTATTTCAACTATTTAGAAGTTTCTGGGTATGTCAGTTTTCCATTTCCACTGTGACAAAGTACCTGAAATAAATCACCTTAAAAGGAGGAAAGGTGTGTTTTGCTCACAGAGTCCAAGTTTCCATCCACAGTCTCTTGCATTTGGCCTGTGCTTCATAGTGTATCTTAGCACAACTACATGCTGAAGGCCTATTCACCTCATGACAGATGAGAAGTAAAAAGAGACAGAAGGAGCCAGGGTGCCCATATCCCCCTTAAGGGCATGCCCCCAGTGACTTAGCTTCCACGTATTAGACCCCAGTTCCAAAAGATCCTACCACCTCCCAACAGCACATGGACCCCCTTTTGGGGGGATTTTCAGGATTCAAACTGGGCAATGTTAGGTCTTGAGTATGTGGAATTAGAGGATTCCAGCTCCCCATGACATAGCCAGAGGAAAAGGGAATTTTAAGAAGGAGTGGAAAATAGGAAGAGAAATTAGAATGCTACAATTATGGTTTTAGGAGAAAAATGAGAAGTTGGGACTTTGAAGCACTAACCTGATTCTCTTGCCATAAATAAGGGTGCACAAATTTTTTTTTCTCTTAATACTAACAAATGGATGAATAATAAGTGCTTTGGATATTATTTTAATAACCTACATCTTTAAGAATCATGGTTTATCTAAAAACATAATATGTTCTTTATTCTCAGTCTTTTTGGATAGGATCAGCATCATGCCCAGTGCCACAGATACCAGCTTTGACTGACAGGCAGCTCTTGTGCTAAAAGAATGCTG